GCCGGAAACCAAGTTCATCAGGGCTTTGATCGGCTTTGGGTTTGTTTGAAGACAAGAACCTTGACGGTGTATGCTTGCCACTCCACACCTAGGTCAGATTACAGCTTCTTATGGAAGGAGATAACTCAGGAACAGGCCCATGGAAGAGTGCACAGGGCAAGGTGTGTGGGAGGGGGCGGGGAGCGTCCATGCCCTCTGAGGGCACCGCTCTCCCCCACACACACCACCACGTTTGCCAACCCAGAAGCAACTCATTAACGTTCTAGAAGTTACAATTCTTTGTTAGCGGATATTGCACCATGAATCTTCAATCTGAAAACTCCAGTTACACATGATTTGAACTATGGCCTCAAAAGGTTCTAGCATGTGGGGATGACAAATGTTACACTAATCTCAGCGGAATGGATTTCACAGTAACCAGATAAATGATTATCTTTCTGTCTTTAAAAGGTTTCCAATCAGAGGAAAATGTATTCAGAGAAGAATCATCCATGGATGCTAAAGGCACTGCGTACAAGTCTGATGTGTCCAATGCACCATATGGGACACGATGAAATATTTATTGAGTGGATGCAGAAGAGAGTGAACCCCAAATCCACCTCCCCCCACACTCAGCTTGGCACACAGAGAACCCCAAGCACACCTAACTGCCTACATTCAAGTGACTTTGTGGTCTGCTGTCTTCCCTGGCAGTTCTTTACTCCTCCTCAACCGCCCAGGCCAGGCAAATGGTTTGAGTATCAACAGCCAGTCTGCCCACCGAGATTCTTTGAATTCCCTCCCGTTTCCACCAATTTTGGACTGTTGTGCATTCTTACCCAATCCTAATCAAGACTCTAAACTGAAAAACTGGCCTTAAACCAAGCTTCCAATTCTCAAAAAATCCTGGCCTTACCTTCTCCTCTCTGAGACACTGCCCACGTGTTGCCCAGTAGTGTTCTCCTTGCCCGAGGAAGCAAGAAACTCCGCTTTGTGGTGTTGGTGAACTTCTGAGCCAGTTTTTGCAAGAGGAATACACTCTAAACACAGTAGCCAAAATAAATATTTTACTGCCTGGGAGCATTAAAAACAGCTTCAGTAACAGTGCCTTCCCCAAGTATACCAGAGCTAGAGATCAAAGGACCAATCAGTAATCATGAACTTGTATTTATTTAGAATTTTGATATTCTGTTCATTGTCCATTTTCTTGCATTAATTTTGATTTTTTAAAAAATATTTTATTGATTTTTTACAGAGAGGAAGGGAGAGAGATAGAGTGTCAGAAACACCGATGGGAGAGAAACATCGATCAGCTGCCTCCCGCACATCTCCCACTGGGGATGTGCCTGTAACCCAGGTACATGCCCTTGACCGGAATCGAACCCGGGACCTTTCAGTCCACAGGCCGACACTCTATCCACTGAGTCAAACCGGCCCTGGCTTGATTTTTTAAAATCTTCTATTAAAACAGTTAATCTTAATTTTTTGGCACTTCCTTACATTTTGTGTTGGAGGTGAATGATTCACTCGTCGTACCCTATTCCCAGGCTGGAAGGAACAGAGCATTAAATTTATAGTTTTGTGGACAGAAAAAAAAAAGGTCCTATGGAAAGTAATTTCACAGGGTGACCTGATCATAAATTCCTAAATGGGCAGGTCATTGTTAGGTTGGAGGGAGCCCAGGATCAGATGCATGCAGATGTGTGACAAGATAAGGGACCCTCCCTGGAATTTCTAACAGATCAGCGGGCCAGAAACAGATACTGGCTCCTCCCTGGAATCCACCACGACCCCCACACAGATACTGACTCCTTCCTGAATACACTGCCCACCCCTGCGGCGGGAGCTTCCTCAGCTGAATACCGTGATGACCCCCGGGGCGGGTGGCTTCCTCAGCTCATGCCCCTGCCCTCATTAACCCTTTCCCTGTTGGCGTGAATCCACTGGCCCTGTCTCTGGGGTTCGTGGGTCGCCCGGGGACACAGATTGAAACCTTTCCTTTTCTTTCTTTTCTGATTGACTTGGCTCTCTTTATTTCCTACGCCGCCTCCTGAGCCACCTAACAGTCACCATGGTGGGCAATCACATCCCAGGCCTGTAACTCCTGTAGTGAAGGTTTTAAGGCAGCCCTGTCCGTAGTTCTCACGCAGCTAAGTTAACACAACTTGGAAATAAGCAAAATCACCCTCAAGGGAGCACATAATGTTGATAACTGTCCTGCAAAATTGTTATTCTCCGCAGCATTTGAGATCTTCCCCAAATATGGCATCAATTTGGCTCAAATAAACTCATAAAAATTCTCTACAGGTTTGGCCATTTCTTACATTTTTAAAAAACGGGATTAAGTATGTTGATGAAAGTTATAAAGGTAAATTAGGGAGATACAAAGGGGGTGGTGTCGTGTGCTCGATCTTCATTAGCATGGCATTAGGTCAAAGACTAATGAAAACGAACAAACAAACCGCATTTAAGTTCAACTTTTCAGGAATCAGAACTAAGAGCGCAACTGATTAAAAGCGGCGGCTCCTAAGGCCGAACTCTGCTTTTCATTACAAACCCTCCTGCCCTAGGTCTTTAAAAAGCGCGTGCATTTACAACTCGGATGACGACGCTGGTAATTGTGAAAACAATACGGTGGATTCCAAGATCGCTAAGTACAGGGCTAGCTCGGCCTCGTTCCAAGTCCGCGCCCACAGCCGGACCCAGCCCCCAGCCGCCTCCGCCCCCGGCAGCAAGGATGCCACGATCTTAACAAAAGATAACTAGAGCCTCTCCCCGTCCTTTCCAGATCCAATCTGGGCGGCTTGGGCAAACCCTACGACCTCCCTTAGCGACCGCGCCAAGCGCACAGGTCCTCCACCCCCAGGACCTTGAGTCTCCTTCCCCGCGCCTCTCCCGGGAGGCCTTTGCGCCTGGACCCGGAAGCGGCAGGGCGGACAAGTCCCAAGGCGCAGGCGCAATCCGCCTTTACCTGGTTGTCCCGCCCCTTCCCAAGCCTCCAGCCAACCTGTTTGGGCGTCGGGGCCGTCCTTTGCTTCCTTTTTCCGCCCCGCGTGATCGCGAGACGACGGGCGGTACTGAGCGCGCCGCGCTTCCCCCTCCCTCCCGACAATTGCTTGAGCAGCTTCCGGGGCCTCTTCCCCGGGTTTGGAGGGATCGGCTCAGGGGCTCCCCGGGCCGAGGTGGGGACCCGCCTTCCCGGGGGCTGACCTGAGTCAAGGAGACCAATCCGGCGCCGCCGCCTCCTGGGCAAGGGCCGCTCACACGCCCGGCAGCCGCCGGGAAGGGGAAGGGGAAGGGGCGACTCCTTCATTGGCGTAGAAGCCACACATCCAGGGAAGTCAGTATTCATTCCCAGTATTATTTTTCTTCTACATGGACAGGGGATGTGGAGGTCCGGCCCGCGCCGGAGATTCTGACAACCTTCGTCGACGCCGCCTCGGCCTCCGCTGCTCCCGATGGCTGTCACCATGAATGAGGACCTGCGCCGGGAGCGGGCCTCCGCCAGCTTCAACCGCGAGCTGCTCACGCACATTCTGGACGGCAGCCCGGAGAACACCCGGCGACGCCGAGAGATCGGTGAGGGCTGCGGGCCAGGCCTCCCTCCGTACCGTGTGGGGGTGCTGTAGGACGTAGGCTCTGGCCCAGCTTTGGGGGGGCCGGGACC